CCATCCATCCATCCATCCATCCATCCACCCATCCATTGTGTCAAGCACATTTGCACATCTGCCGCCATCATCATTTTCTAAACATTTTCTTTCCACCCAAGCCCCCAGATTCAGCTCCTCTATATAGATCTTAATAATTATTATTTTTGACATTTTTTGATGGTGAAATCTATATTTTTCTTCTTCACATCCAGTTGCATTCTTCCTGCATACTTCTACATGTGGCAGCCAGAAAGTACTTTTTACCACACTCACAGTTTCCTTTTCCCTAAAGCTCTGCATGTGAAAGTATCCCCCGCTTTCTTCAACTGATGCAGCTTGCTCTTGAACGATGTGGCCACAAAGCATATAGGACACCAGGATGAAAGCTCCTCTGTGTAAAACCAGAGGCGTGACTTTCTTAAGGTGGCACCAAAGACCATGCTGTACATATCGCAGCCCAAAAAATCCAAGAGCAATAAACCAAGGACTGGTCTTTTTCAACAATTACCTCATTTCAGAGGGCTGTTTATTGGGTAGTGGATTAATGTCCAAACCTCTTAGCTAATTAATGTGAAACACAAATCACCCTTATGCAATAAGGCTTGGCAATAGAATGATAAGTCACAGCAAATGTTTCACCTGGGTGTCTGCCCCGTAGAACCAAGAAGGGCTGGATGAGCTGTTTTTAGCCTTTTCTAGTACAGTGCTGATAATTTCCATGCTATGGGAAAACTTTGTATTTTTCACTATTAATTACTTTATGGAAAAACTGTAGGATAAGCTAAGGATATTTTCTAGAGACTGTAATTTGACTTTAATCTTGAAAAACAGTTATATTTTCCAGAATAAGATATTAAAGCATTTCTGTAATGGAAAAAGTCTCAGGAGACAAGGGCAATGGAAAAGGCAGGTTAATTACTAAGCTCCATGTAGTAGTCCCAATGAAATGATTGATTAAAATTAAAGAAAAGAGAGAGAAGGAAAAATAACCCAAAGGGATGAAAAAAAATTAGTAAACTCCAATAGGGAAAGCAACAAACCATCATTACACAAAAATTACCCCTGGAAGGGTGGTGCAGGGGCGGCAGTGTCTTGTGCTGTTGTGCAGAGTCACCAGGCGCTGGCAGTGGTAGCGTCTAACGGCAACACCCCAAGATTATCTCAATATTTTTCTAGAAAACCTTAATAGATCAGCTTGACCTGAGTTTCTATCTTAAGTTTTCACTCTAAGGACAGTCTTTTGGATAGATGTCTGACATTTGTTCTGGTTATGTAAGTTGTTGTTCATTACAAGAACATATTGCGTAAGAGTTATTGGTGAATGACACATTTGCCTGTAATCATCATATGTTCAGAAACCAAGATATTCAGTCTTTGGCAAAATGAGCATTTGTTTTTAACTTGGTAGATTTTGAATAACCTCGCCTAAGGAAGTCTGCCCCACAAAAGAGTCTTAATAATTAACGCGAGACCACAGATAAATTGCCAAGTTAGATTTAGGTGCCATACAAGAGGGGTGTGGGCAGGAAAGATGGGGAGCCAAGTAAAAGAAGAAAGATGAAGACTCCACTCAGCACATTACCATCAAAGATGATATGATTTTTAATGGGAAATGAATATCTATATATAAACATATATGATGGCATAAGAAGAATGATGGGATTAGAACTTGGCTATGGACAATTGTCATATACAAGAAAACATTAGAGGAGTGAGAATAATATTATTTTGGCTTGTAAAAGCAGGATTATCCAATCAATCAAGGAGTCCAGCTGGTGCTATCAGGTAAGTATCCGATCACTAACTAAAGTCAGAGGGTCAAGCCCACGAGCTTCTCTGGGGGACAAAGATAAGGCTGTCTGATTCTGTAAAGATTTACAACTCTGTGAATGCTATATAGGGTTACTGAGTTGGAACTGACTTGATGGCTGTGAATTTTGGGGTTTAGGAATCAGGAAACTCAATGTCAGTGCATTTGTTTTTGGCATTTTGGCTCTAATCAACACTTAGCTATCAACACACCAGTTTAAATATGTGTATCTATGTAATTTTGTATTTGTGTATGGTTGTAGGTACCAAGGAGGTTTTAAAAGACTTGAAAAATGGAACTGAAAGATAATTTTTCCATGAACTTTTGGAAGCCCTCTCTGTACGTGTATGAGTATAGATAATGTTATGGAAGATGTACACAGATTTATTAGAGTTTTTTTCATGCATTTTGTGGTGCTATGTTTTTATTATTCTTGTAATTTGAAAAACTATTCAATGAAGAAAAAATTAGTTCCAAATTATATATATATACTTTAAAGAAAAAAATGAAAGAAGACCAAAATAAACTAATGGTAATCAAGAGCTCAGTGGTAGTCAATAATTCTGTGAAAAGAGAAATCTGTATTTAAAAAAGGTTATAAGTAAATAAAGGTTGGAAATAATAAGAGGGAATGTTCATATCCAGAGCTAACTCTGGGTCAGACTCACCTAGTTCATACACATTTCAGCCAGAGAGCTAATCTGCACTAGCTCAGTCTGATCCTGACCTCTGTCTCAGAGGGGGCTTATCTTTCAAAGGCAGAGTCTGACTGATAAAGTGCCTAGTCAGGGTTTGTGGTTTTCTTGACCAGCACACCAGATTTTAACTTGGACTGTCAATGTAGCTTCCATGAAGAGTCCCAGGAGTTCTATAAACCCGGAGTTTAAATCCTGGCCAGTACAGAGACCTGGGAACAACCTTCCTAAAGGGCGGAGGAGGAGGGGGAGGAAGAGGAGGAGGAAACACATAGCATGCTGTGGTTGTGAGAATTTGAGCCAAGTTGTGTAGCTGATTAGAGCATTTGACAGAAATTTAATGAAGGATTTTGTTTTCCCATGACTTGGGCCTTACTTGAAAGTCTGTGTTGGAATTCCAGACTCTTGGATTACTGCAATTGTTAACTCCTGCTGATGTTGAAAAGAGATCCTGAGGATTTAGAGAGGTGAGACTGAGTAACTCCCACCATTCAGGCATTTCTCAACTTGAAGTGACAAACGGGAGTAGCAGGCCTTCCAAACATTTTGCTTCAACAGCTCCCTTCCACCTCAATGCACTGTTATGTCAAAAAAGAGGTATGGCTATTGAAAAAAAATACAAGTCACTACCAGATAATTTAATCTTGCATGCCTATTTCTTCCATCAGAAATGATAAATCTATCAAGGGCCCTGATTTGTTACATAGCCTTAATCTAGAAAATGCTGACTCTGCCTAACTACGGCAAAGGCCCAAGAGCACTTGAAGCTTATCTTTTGGTCTTAAAACTTTTTTTCTTATGCCAAGAATTATACATAGGAGGAAGCTTCAAAAATTTGTGGAAAAAATTTGATTATCTTTTAATTCCACTTGTTCACAAACTTTCTGAAGCCCCTTTATAGAAATATGAAGATAGCAAAAATGATTCTGAGTAGACTGATCACTAAGCTTTATGTGCAAGACCTCTTTATGGTTTTAAAGATCAAAGAGGTCACTTTGAGGACTAAGATGGATCTGACTTAAGCCACGATATTTTTAATGTGAAAGCTAGACAATGAATAAGGCAAACTGGAGGAGAATTGGCACATTTGGCTTATGATGTTGGGGAAGAATATTGAAAGTATCAAGGACTGCCAGAAGAAAAAACAAATCTGTCTTGGAGGTAGTACAGCCAGAATCATCCTTGGAAGATAGGATGGTGTGCTTTGTATCAATCATTCATTTGTCTCATTTTATCAGGAGAGACCAGTCCCTGGAGAAGGACATCATGCTTGGTAAAGTAACTCGAGTCATTGCTGACTCCTCGTGACCCCATAGGACAGGGTAGAACTGCCCCGGTGGGTTTCTGAGACTGTCCCTGTTTATCGCAGTAGAAAGCCATGTCTTTCTCCCAAAAAGTGGCTGGTGGTTTTGAACTCCTGACTGCCATTATCAGTCCAATGTGTAACCACTATGCCACAGGGCTCCCCTCGTAAAATGTCAGCAAAAAAGAGGCAGAGGATTGAGGAGATAGATTGACACTGCTGCAACAATGGACTCAAACATAGTAACAATTGTGAGGATGCTGTGAGATGGACAGTGTTTCATATTGTTTTGTGTGGCAGCCTCTAACAACAGTAAGCTTACATACAGAAACTTCTGGTCTTTAGGAAAGTATGGAGTAAAATACATGCACAATAAAAGACTAGTTAATTTGATGTAAATGTTCTTTTTTACAAGTTTAGTTTTTGACAAATTGAACCAAAATAATAACGTAAGCTTACAAAGGTAAAAAGTATCTAATACTTTTTCTTCAAGTGACCTAGAATATACATCCTTGCACTTTCCCTTCTGATAGTCTTCAACACACTTATAATAAGATGTCATACATCTTTACAAATATTATTACAACATTATTATTATTATTTATTATAACATTATTATAAGGTGCCTGGCACTATATATGGTAGGAGCCCTCGTGGTGTAGTGGGCCATGTGATGCACTTAAAACCACAAGGTCAGCAATTTGAATAACCAGCCACCCTGCAGGAGAAAGACCAGGCTTTCCCTGTAAATGGTTAAAAGTCTTGGAAACCCATGGGGTGGGGAGAGGAGGGAGGCAGTTCTAGCCTGTCCTCTAGGGTCTCTATGAATCAGAATTGACTTGATGGAAATGAGTTTGTTTTTTTCTGTTGGTACTATATACTTGTTATATGATGGAAAGCCTTGATTCGGTGAATGCCTCCTCCTGATTTCACCAAGATAGGCTAGATTATATTGTCATACCAATGTGAGATTTCAGGATCATACTACAAGAATGTGCTGTTTACAGAAACTCTTGATTGTGGCAGTTACATTATCTCCTGTCAATTTGAGCAAAGGGCTGGAGTCTAGCCTGTCAATCAGGTCATAGCTAATAATGCCTCTGTGTGGGCCTTGTCTTCTCCTGAGGATTCTGGGAACTCCTATCTTCCTCCCTGGAGGTGGGACACACACTCTCTTTGGCTCACATTCTATTGATAAGCCATATGAAGCTATGCTGATGGCAGCCTGAGCCCTGGAGCCATAGGAGCAACATGGAGAGTCGTGCCAAGGCTGAGATGCTTCCATAAGACTTTTCACCCACTGACCTGTGATCTTCCTGCTTTTGGCATCATTGCATGTGCTACGTGAGTCTGTAGAAGAATTTGTGGACTACTATCAGACATATGGGCTAACATCGAACTTAAGGACTTGATCTAGACTGGGATGTTTTATTGATAAATAATTACTTCTTGATCTAAAGCTCTCTCTTACATATATATGAGTTGAGGTAGTTAGTTTATTGTGCCAACCTGGCCGATAAACACATGTGGGGTTAATTGAAGGGCAGAAGGATAAATGGCTTGGTGGGCCTCACCTTTCAAGTTCTTGGGTCTCTTGCTTTGTGATGGTCGGAACAGGGTGTAGCTGCCTTAGCCAGTTCTATGCTTCAGCTGGAAAGGCTCACTTCCTGCTAGACATCCCCAAGGAGAAGCCGCATGGACCTACCCTGATGCAGCTGTGTGCTGGAGCAGACGTGTGGAGAGCCCTGCCAGTGCTGAGATGCTTATATGTTCACTGATTCAGCTTTCCTCCTACAGTTGGCATCACAGTGTGTGTTTTGTGAGATGGAGGAAGACTTTGCGGATTGGTGTTGGAAATATGGGGGTTAATGTTGGACGTGTGGGCTTGGGCAGCACTGGATTAGGATGTTTTCTTGATGTGCACTTACCCCTTATATAAAACTCTCTCCTATACATGAGTTTCTGTGGATTTGTTTCTCTAAAGTACCTACACAAGAGTGTCTCTGGATTAGTTTCTCTAATCAACCTGGTCTATCACACTGATGCAAGTATAAGGGGTATTCTATATCTTGTGGCTTGAGGACAAGACTTGTGAGGTCAATTATATGAGATCAATTACCAACTCCACACTGGGGGATGGAGACACACTGCTATCATATACCTTGGGATAGAAGAGGCACATCACTTCTGGTTATAATTCTGACCCTTATCAAACAGTAGGGTGTACGGGAAATTCAGGGAATTCGTGGCTATACACTGAGCTCTGGTGGTCTCTGCAGTTCTTAACTTTTGCATAACTGACAAGTAAATGCAATGTTTTCCATTTTTATTTATGTAGGTTTCATTACTGTTAGCTCTGCCTACTACTTTTTTGAGGAAAATTTTTTATTCATGGTGAAATAAATTTGGGAAGTACTGTGTATTTATTTTTCACACTAAGTCTCACATCAAAGAAACCCTTTTAATTAGTAAAGGCAAAAGATTGCACTAAGAGGTCAATACTTATTTGTTCAACAAATATATTTTGAGTACTTACTCAAATGAATAAGGAAGATTGAAAATGAGTGATATATTTGAATTATGGTATTGATGAAGACTGTTGGGTGTGCTATGGATTGCCAGAGGAATTAATAGGTCTGTGTTGGAAGAACAGCCAAGAATACTCCTCAGAGGCAAAGATGTGAGACTTTGTCTCAAGCACTTTGAACATGTTGTCAGGAGAGACCAGTCCTTAGAAAAGGAGATTATACTTAGTGAAGTAGAGGTTCAGTGAAGTAGTAAGTCTTGTTGAGTACCCTCAACAAGATGGTTTAACACAGTGTTTACAACAATGGGCTCCAACATAATTGTTGCAGATGGCACAGGACCGGTGTGTGGTGCTTTGTACTATTGTACATATGGTTGCTATGAGTCAGAACTACCTTAAGGGCACCTAACACCGCCGCCACCACCGTCACTATTTTCCTGATTTTATGTT